CGGATGTCAGTTGCCGGGTCACAGCCGGTCCTTACCGGCTATCTCCCGGCGATCGGCGGCAATCAGTGACAGAGAGCATAGCTGCAGTAGCTGTGCTTTCTGTCACTTCCCTGACAGCTCGAGGACAAGCTGATCGGGACAGAAGAGTTTCACTCTCCCGATCAGCCGTGTCCCCTGCAGTACACACCCCCCACCCCCTAGTAAAACACTCCCCTCACACAGTTAACCCTTTCCTGCAAAATAAACTTAACCCCTTCCTCCCCAGTGCCATTAGTACAGTGTCAGTGTTTTTTTTTTTGCACTGATCACTGTATTTGGTGTCACTGGGGATATCAGTGACCCCAAGTCAGTACCCCCCCCAGTGTCAGAATGTCCGCCGCAGTCCCGCAGTCCCGCCATAAGTCGCTTATCGCCGCCAAAGGTCCCTGATCGCCGCCATAAGTCGCTGATCACCGCCATTATTAGTATAAAAAAAAAAACTAAAAATCCCAGTATCTTTCCCGCCATTTGTAAACGCTATAACTTTCACATTTGAGTTTACTATATATTTTTTTTATAGCTGAAAGTAAAAAATATTGTTTTTCTTCAAAATGTTTGGCCTTTTTTTGTTTATAGCGTGAAAAATAAAAAGCGCACAGGTGATCAAATACCACCGAAAGAAAGCTCTATTTGTGTGAAAAAAGGACGATCAATTTCGTTTGGGTGCAGCATTGCATGACCGCGCAATTATCAGTTGAATTAGTGCACCGCCGAGTAGGAAAAAGAGGCCTGGTCATTAAGGGGGGTAAATCCTCTGGAGGTCAAGTGGTTAAGTATGTTTGTTTGGTTACCAAATTAATTATTAAGTAGGGTTTTAATCTCCTTTAAATGACCTGTATAAACTAAAATATTTCAGTACGTTCATTAAGTTGAGTAGCTACTGATAACATTCAGAAAAACGTAAGTGAAAAAGTTCATTATGTATGCTTGTGCAGACATTGATATATATTTGATATTTACATAACTTTTCTATTCAGCCTGTTACTGGTTTTTAGATGCTTTGTAAGCTAGAAGTAAACTAAAGACAACTAAAGGTCATACCTTGCAGAACTCATAATTCACCGTCTGGTAGATGTGGGAAAGTTAAACTACCTAATGGGTCCTTATATCTCAATAGCTGTGAGATCTCAGCACTTTCTAGATCTCTGCAGCTACCGCAGAGATTAACCATGGGCGTCCAGCCTCCCTGTTGGTGTTTAAAGTTCAATTCCAGGCAAGAATTTAAAACATTTGTTGAGTTTTTCATGCAATCCAATACACGTAGCTACTGTGCTAAAGTCAAAGATTCACTTGATTCGATTTAATACATATCAACCCTCACTGAATATTATTGAGTTTGCTAAACAATTTTGTTTGCTGAACAAATGCAATCTTAAAACTCTCAAAAATACAAGTACAGTTTTTTTTTTTTTGTTTTTTTTTTATACTGTAGTAGTACCAATAATATTTGTGCCACTTCCTGTCTACATGCATTTTAGCAAATTCTGCATAACAGTTTTCTTGGTGGTGATAACAGTGGAACATACCTCTGCAATGTGTGCTGGCATGGCTGCTTGCAGACTCCATTGGGAGTAAAGATACAGGTTAATGCCACGTTTGTGCTGGTTTGTGCAGCTTAATTATCCATTCTATCGCTTATCATTTTTGCGTCATTAATGATTTATTAAAGGTCACCAAAGGTCACTCAGCCCACTTATAACAGCCAAAAAAACAGAAAACTGGGCTGGTTGGTTAGTGCTATGTTTGTTCCATTTAATTCTCCGTTTTATCGTTTTTGTGTCAATAATATATTTATTAAAAGTCACCAAAGGTCACTTAGCCCCCCTACAAGAGCCAAAAAGACACAAAACCAGGCTGGTTGGTTGGTGCCACATTTGTGCTGGTTTGTGCCATTTAACTCTCCGTTCTATCATTTTTGTGTCATTAAAAATTTATTAAGGGTCACCAAAGGTCACTCAGCCCAGCTTAAAACAGCCACGTTTGTGCTGGTTTGTGCCATTTAACTCTCCGTTCTATCGGTTTTTGCATCATTAACTCATTAACAATTTATTAAAGGTCACCAAAGGTCTCTCAGCCCCCCTAGAAACAGCCAAAAGACACAAAACCGGGCTGGTTGGTTAGTGCCACATTTGTGCTGGTTTGTGTCATTTACCTCTCCATACTATCGTTTTTTCTGTCAGTAACAAAGCTCACTCAGCCCCCCTACAACAACCAAAAGGCACAAAACCAGGCTAGTTGGTTAGTGCAATGTTTGTGCTGGTTTGTGCTGCTAATATTTTTTATTTGTGCTGTTTTTATTTTTTAGTTAAAACAACTTGTTTTTATTTGATCAAACCCCACCCACTTTGAACCCCATGTTAATAAATCTTAAATTTATTAGTGCTATGTTTGTGCTGTTTTGTGCCGTAAAAAGTTTAATTTGTGCTGCATTTATTTTTGAGATAATAGCAATTGTTTTTTTCCCAGACGGTGACATCACCCAGCCCCCCTACAACAGCCAAAAGACATGAAACCGGGCTGGTTGGTTAGCGCCACGTTTGTACTGGTTTGTGACGTTTTACTATCCGTCATTTTGTTTTTCTGTTATTATTGATTTAATAAAGGTACCAATGGTTATCCAGCCCCCCCTACAAGAGACAAAAGGTATAAAACTAGGTTAATTGGTTAGTGCCATGTTTGTGCTGTTTAAATCTCAGTTCTACCACTTTTTGTTTTTATTTCATATAATGAAAAGCTGAGAAAAAGTCAGAACATGATATGGATATCTCTGTTTTAGTTTGTCCTTCATTTGTTGTTACTTTTCATACAAACTTTTTGATCTGATGAATTTGTAAAATGGTTTGGAAAATTAAAATGTTTAACTACTTCCCGCCTGGCCTGTAGTAAAATGACGGCCCAATGAGCCTCTTGTCCCTCTGGTAGGGCGTCATATGACGTCCTTCCCGGATCGTGCTTTCCGGTGCCCGCAGGGCCACATTGTGGCAAGATCTGTCACCGGCTGTGTACCTCGGACATGGCCAATGACAGATCTGTGTACAGACCCCATTGCCAGTACCATGTGACCAATCACAGCAGGTCACATGACAGTTGTAAACAATGGATGGCTTCCTTTCATGCCATCCATTGTATACAAGTGTGTCTAGCTTTGAATGGTCACAGTGATCACATGCACAGGCTGGGCCAATCACAGGCCATCTATGTCATGTGATTAGCCATGGCCAATCACAGCTAATCACAACAAAAAAAACCTTAATGAATCGATTTCATTCTGTTAAATGCTTGCTTATAGCAAAGAAATTCTTTGGTATAATCAATAAAATTGTGTAAAAAAAAAAAAAAAAATACTGATCACTTCCCCAAAGTATTACTATGGCAACATTATACTACTTTGGTCATAATGTAATATGAAAAAAAAAATCTTAATAAATAAATAAAAACAAATTGAAAAACAATTATCAATTTATTTAATTTTTTTCGTACTGTCAGCAGTCAGTGTCTCTGATCACCATCACACCAGTTATATGATGATGCTGTACTGCACTGGTGATAGTATGTAAAAAAAAAAAATAGTGAAAATATTTTTTTTTAATTTTTTAATTTTCCGAAAAATTATGACAAAAAAATTACAACTTCAAAAAACTCGCCATGCCTCTTATGAAATACGTCGGACTGTCTACTTTGCAAAAAGGGGTCATTTGGGGGATATCTGTACTGTTCTGACATTTTTGGGCCTCAAGAAATTAGATTGGCTGTCAGTACTTCAGGATTGATCAATATTCAGATATATCCCATAGTTTGTGAACTCTATAACTTTCCTACAGACTAAATAATAAATACTGATTTGGGTTATTTTCACCAAAGAAATGTAGCAGAATACATCTTGGCCTAAATTTAAGAAAAACAATTATTTATTTGAAAACTTTATAACTGAAAAAAAGAAACGTGTTTTTTTTTCAAAATGTTTGGTCTTTTTTTGATAATTTAGCAAAAAATACAAACACCAGTGGTGAGTAAATACCACCAAATGAAAGCTCTAGTTGTGTGAACAAAAATATAAAAGTTTACTTTGGGTACAGTGTTGCATGACCGTGCAATTGTCATTCAAAGTGTGAGAACGCTGAAACCTGAAAATTGGCGTGGGCAGGAAGAGGGTAAAAGTGCCCGGTATTAAAGTGGTTTAAGACACATTTTACTATTGTAATTCTTGAGATTTAGTATTTCTTTTCGTCTGTAGCTACAATCATGTTGACCTTCCATTGAAGTCAGTCCATATTAGCCTATCTGTAATGCTTCAACACTGTTAATGAAATTCATAAAATTACATCTCATGCTCTTGATGTACAACTTGAAGAATGAAAAAGAGCTATTAATCCAGTGCAGAGCAAATGAGAATGTGAAAGGAGACACCAAAAAACACATCTTATCCCCAGCAACATTAGAAGAAGTGTGCTGTTAGCAACCAGTGTTCAGCGGGAGACACATATATTGTGTGATATAATATCCAGAGGTATGGTCACACATTTCCCAACCAATCAATACAGTCCACCATAAAACTACATTTTGTTAAATGCAGACATCTGAACATGGTTACAATGTAACACAAAGGTCTAAAAATAACCCATTAACCACTAGCCTACCGGGCACTTATACCCCCTTCGTGCCCAGGCCATTTTTCAGCTTTCAATGCTGTTGCACTTTGAATGACAATTGCGCGGTCATGCAACATTGTACCCATATGATATTTTTATAATTTTGTTCACACAAATAGAGCTTTTTTTTTTTGGTGTTATTTATTCGCCACTGGGTGTTTTATTTTTTGCACTATAAACAAAAAATTAGCAAAAAAAAAAAAAAGAAGGTTTTCTTTGTTTCTATTATAAAATTTTGCAAACAGGTAATTTTTCTCCTTCATTGATGTGCGTTGATGACGCTGCACTGATGGACAGCACTGATGAGCACTGATAGGCAGATGTTGGGCAGCACTGGTGGGCACTGATAGGCTGCGCTGATGGGCAGCACTGATGGACACTGATGGTCTGCACTGGTGAGCATTGATAAGGAGGCACTGATGATACACTGATATGCAGCAATGATGGGCACTGATGGGCAACACCGACAGGTGGCACTGACTGATGGCACTGACTGGTGGCACTTCTGGGTAGCACTGATGGGGGGCACTGATGGGCACTGATTTGTGGCATTGGGCACAGATGGGCACTGGTGGGTGGCATTGATGGGCACTTGCGAGTGGCATTACTGGGCATGGATGAGTGGCACTGCTGGGCAGCACTGTAGGGCACTGATCATCAGGGCACTGATCATCAGTGCCAATCTTCTCTGTGACAGCTGCCAGTTATCAGCAGTACTTTCCTCATGCTGTGACAGTGTGAAGAAAGTGCTGCCAACAGGAGCGTATTTACCACAAGGCAAACAAGGCAGTTGCTTAGGGCAAATTTTCAGGGAGCGTCCCCCAGAAGAAGGAACACGAGCGGCATGGCGTCCAGGTGGGATCCAGGAGAGGCTGTAGGACAGTGTATAAAGAACCAAACTCTCTGACCCAGGGATGTCCTCAGCTGCAAAGGTGAGTGTCCTTTCTCTCGCCAGGGGGATGGGTGGTGGTGGTGGGTGTATGGAGGGCAGTTCTCTCAGCCTTGGGGAGGGGTGTTCATGGAAGGTTCTCTTGGCTGTGGATGGTGGGGTGGGGGTGCTGTGGTGTTGGTTGGTGTCAGGCTCTCTCGGCAGGGGGGTAGGGAGTTGTAGGTGGTAGGCGGACAATTTTTGTGTTGCCTAGGACAGCACAAAATCTAAATACACCACTGGCTGCCGATAACCGTCAACTGTATTTAATCTGATCTGCTGTGTCATTGGGCACAGCTGGTTATGTGGTAAAAAGCCGCTTTAATTGACCTTTTACCTCATCATGTGATCAGCTGTGTTCATAGGACACAGTGATCATGGAGATCACTGGGTGAGCGCAGCTGGGGGCGTGCAGGAGGGCGTGTTCTGGGTGGACGTCATATGATGCACTCCCAGAAAGGATGTGGTTAAAGTATGTAATATACATAAAGTTAGAATTACATAAGTGACGTAGCGAATTACAAAAGTTGCTTATATTACATACAAATTTTACAAACACATGATGGAAAACTATAGTATATACTTTAACACATCTTAGAAAAAATAATTGTTAATGTTTCAAAAACTGAGAGACAGCCTCGGGTGGGTACTAACCAACCAGCCCGTTTTTACATCTTTAGGCTGTTGTAGGGGGGCTGGGTGATGTCATAGTCTGAAAAAAAATGCCTTTATCCTAAAAATGAAAGCACAAATTTAAATTTTTATGGCACAAATGTTTTGTGTCTTTTGGTTGTTGTAGGGGAGCTGAATTACCTTTGGTGACCTTTAAGAAATTGTTACTTATGCAAAAGCGATAAAAAATAGAGTGGAGATTTCAACAGCAAAAACCAGCACTAACGTGGCACTAACCAACCAGCCAAGTGTCATGTCTTTTGGCTGTTGAAGGGAAAATGAGCGATGTCATCATCTGGAAAAAAAAACAATTGCTAATAACATAAAAAAAATTAAAAAAAGCAGCACAAATGAACATTTTTACAGCACAAAACAGCACAAACTTAGCACTAAAGAACTGGAGTTTTTCTGTGCTAATTGTAGGGGGGGGGGGGGGGGGGGGGGCAGCTTCGCTGAGCTTTTATAGTTAGCCTTTTCTTCCAATTTGAAGTTTAGTTACATAGAAAAAAAAAAAAATACAGGGGGTTGTACTTACAACAGTGCTGTTGGCTGCTGCCTTAGCTAGAATCTTCTGTCCTCTGCCTCCTCCCCCATACCCCCATGGTGGTAATCTTCCGGAGGTGTTGCAGAGGTTACTACAGCCTCTGTACCTCACGTAGGCACTCATAAAGAGTGCTGACCTTCATGCTATGGACTCAAACAACTCTGCCCTTTGCTGGAGATGTCACAGTGCTCGTGGCATAATGTCCCATGTATGGGATGGCTGCCCACTCATCTCCCCTTTCTGGACAAAAATTTTTCATATCTATAACGAAATAACAGCCTCCACATTACATTCAGATGCATGCATTACACTGCTGTTGATCATCCCGGGATTCTTCAAAGCCATTAGGAAGGATATTTTACGCCACATGCTCACAGTGGTTAGAACCATAATAGAACCATAATAGCTCGCAAATGGTGTAAGCCGATTTGCCCTTCCGTGGCAGATTGGGTATGTGAAATGAACAAGATCCAATCCATGGCAAAGATGATCCATGCTGAAGAGAACCCTACAGAATGCTCTCCTACCATGTGGTTACAATGGGAATATTTTTGATCCTCAGCTGCCTTTTCACAGTACCTGCAAGGGTTGAGAGCAGACAGTTCCTACCAGGGGCGGACTGACAGCCCATGGGGCCCCTGGGCAATAGGGGATCATGGGGCCCCTGTGTCCTTGCCCAAACTCAAAAATGCCTATGATAAAGGTACCAGAGGCATCTCATGGGGCCCCCTACTGACCCCGGCCCTCGGGCAGTGTCCGAGTTTCCAAATGGTCAGTCCGCCCCTGGTTCCTACTCTTCCCTCCTTGGTCTCCCTTGTTATTCTCAATCCTGAGGTCCTCTGACTGCAGATTTCCAGAATACACCATTCCTACTCTGTATTCCCTTGGTATTAGGACCTCTTAGTCCTCCGATTTTCCTCTGCCGATTTATAATAATTTGTCTCATAACTAAATGTGATGTCAGCCTCAGTGGGCCTGATAGTTGTGGATGTCTTCATACTGTGTTTTATTGTTAATATCTATGTCACTTTTACATTGCTTTTTTTCATATTCTGTCACATATTCTGACAATGGTTGCCTATTTTTTTTACATTTTTGTACCATGTTCATATATCTTGAAAACAAATAAACAAAGATTATATGTACAAAGTGCTGACTATGTCCACCCCCCTTGTACAATAGCATCCATCAATGAAAAAGCTATGAACAGAGGAGCCAAATCTTTTTATTCATGTGCTTGTCCTCCATTTATAAACCGCTTTTCATTGATGGAAGCTATAGTATGACTTCTATGAATGAAGGAGGGGGCTGGTAAGGGCGGGCATAGTTGGCACTTTGATGAGTGCCTGTCATGGGTTCCTTGAGTCAATTAACACCCACAGCACCAGAAGATTACCACTGTGGGAGTGTGGGGGTGGGGGTGGGCAGAAGATTGACAATTTTAACTAGAACAGCCAGAGCCATCACAAGGGATACTTTTAATTAAATGTAAGTACTGTCCAATTTGTTTTTTTTATTGTAACCAAAATTTAACTGCAAAATCAGATCACCATCTTTGCCATACAGTCTGTTAGGGCTGTGTAAAACCCAGATGGAAATAAACAAATCCTTTGGAAAGTAAAATAACTCCCATGTACTGTATATACACTCAGCTTCCACTTTATTAGGTACGCCTGTTCAATTGTTTGGTAACACAAATTGCTAAATAAGCCAATCACATGGCAGCAACTCAATGCATTTAGGCATCTAGACATGGTGAAGACGACTTGCAGAAGTTCAAACCAAGCATCAGAATGGGTAAGAAAAGGATTTAAGCGACTCTGAACGTGGCACATAGTTTTTTGGTGCCAGATGGGCTTGTCTGAGTATTTAAAAAATGCTGATCTGGGATTTTCAGAGAATGGTCCGAAAAAGAAAATATCCGGAAAGCGGTAGTTGTGTAGAAGAAAATGCATTGTTGAGGTCAGAGGAGAATGGGCAGACTGGTTCAAGATGATGGAAAGGCAACAGTAACCCATGCCAATATGGACCAAAATCTCTGAGGAATATTTCCAACACCTTGTTGAATTCCAAAAAGAAATAAGCAGTTCTGAAGGCAAAAGGAGTCCAACCTGGTATTAGCAAGGTGTACATAATAAAGTGGCTGGTGAGTGTATGTTTATCTATTTAGCAGTTTCCTAGCAAGTTCATCTGGATTATTTCTGAGTGGCCAGGACTCTTGTAGCTCACTTCTGTTGGATAAAGTTAGCAGCCAAAAGGGCAAGAAAAGTCACCACTTTTATAATTTTAGGAAACAAAGGCAATTGAATATTTTATGCGTGTACAGAACTTCTCTGAAAGACGAGGAGGCACATTTTTATAAAAGCAGCACATTTTTATAAAAGGTTGACAAGACAAAAGTAGTTATTAAAGGCATCAACCTAAAACAGTGGCACATCTAAATAATGATGTTTTTAGGCTTTTCAACTCTTCAACGTCCCAAATGTTTTCCAGCACAATGATTATATGACTGTAAACGTGAGCAATTTTACAAAAGCACATTAAAAACAATAGGAGAAATGAAACTCGGGCACGTTACGATCGAAAATTACACAGTTTGGCATCAACCTAAATTACAGAACCCCAGAAAAATCAGTGTAATTTTCCCTGGTTTTCTAATTCTTTTATAAAGATAATTCTAATTTATGCCATTTTTTGCACAAGCTTCTGATTCAGGCCTCACTAATTATTACCTTTAACAAGCTTGAATTTTAGTCCTCTCATCAAATGTTCCCCTTCCGCTGCCAAAAACTTACACAAATAATGAGCTCATAAGAATGGTGGACTCAGCCGAACTGCTTATCAAAATGAGAAAAGAAGTAGAAAATATCCAAAAAAAGTATCTAAACTGTCTCAACCACTCAGGTTAAAAACAGAGGATTATTAGTAGAGTTGATATCAGGGGGGACTGACCATTTGGAAACTCGGGCACTGCCTGAGGGCCCTGTATCCTATACAAAGGGTCAGTAGGGGGCCCCATGAGATATAGGTCCCCTGGTACATTTTTCATAGGCTTTTTTGAGTTGCCATACACGGCCACAGAGGCAAGGACACACCGCGGGGGGCCTCCATGATCCTATTGTCCCGGGGACCCCATCTGAGTTGTCAGTTCCGTATCTCCCCTGGACCAATTGATATATCATAAGCAAAAAAGCCCCTGGCAGTGCCTCTTTCAAACTATAACCATATTTGAGAGATAAATATAGGAATTC